ATATATATATATATATATATATACGTACATTTTCATACACGCATGAGCATATACACGCGTAGGTATACGGTGCAACGGGGCACGTATCGACTGGCTCCTCAAAATTGATGGCCGTTATTAATGCCAAAGTGCCCCCCCCCCATTCCCTTGTGTACATGTATACATCGCACGCTGTATTTTCTCGTTCACTTGTAACACGCGTCCCCGGACTCGTTGATTCTCTTTTTCAATCTCCTCCTTCTTCCCAGCCCCCGAGCTCGGGGGGAGAAAAAGCGCAGCCGGTTCATTTCAAACTGCACACACCTGCACTGGTTCGCGAGAGCTATACGTGTGTGTGTGTGAGTGGTCGTCGGAAAACAGATAGAGAGAGTTACGAGTGTCCCACCTACCGGCTTCTATCTCGCTCTTTCGCACCGATGCCCGGAGACGCGGATTGATCTTCCGCGCCCCGATTTAAATGCACGGCTAACTCCTCAAAGCGAGCCACCCCCTCCTCCTACTCCTTCCTCTCTGATGAAACCGGGATTTGTTTTACGACTACGATCGACGAGTGCCTATACCTGCTTTGCGCGACAAGCTTTTCCATTTGAGCTATTTGCCACCGGAAGAGAGGGCTCTCCCGCCCTTTCACTTACCTCCGGCTTTTTAGACTTTGGTCAAAGCGACCTGGACCGTGTTTTTTTTTTTTTTTTTTTTTTTTTTTATCAGCCCGACTTTGCACGAACACTTGGTTGGAGTGGCAATTTACTTATTCATCGTTCATCATGTACGAAGCAAACAAAATTAGATCGTTACCAAATCCTCGAGTCGAGTATACATATATATTTTTGCGTACGAAGCTCCCCTCGAGCAAAACCGGTTGAATAACGTTTTGGATAACTGTGAGCACTTTCTTCCAAAATCTACGCGATCGTACACAAAATATTAATAACAATAATGAAAAAAACTCGCGTTACTCCATACGATCGATCCATAAATAAATCCTGGAAAATAATAGGAAAAAGCCCCCGAACCCCGACGCGATACATCATCGAACCATCCGACTCCCCCCTCACCCGTACTACACTGGTAAAAACAAAAAAAAAAATCATCTCTGAATCTACGGAGCAAAATAGTGTATAATATATACTACTTATTTTCCGGGCGAACGTGCGGAAGAAAAAAAACAATCGTGCCCCTCCTTGCTCGTGCAACATGTGTACGAGGACACATGCATAAATCGCGTCGGAAGCGTTTTCGTGCTTACCCTGCGCGTGTGGGTATCATATACATGAATATATACAAGTGCGCGCCACGCGCCGTATCGTCGTATGTAATATTACAAGGGAAGCGTATGCGTGTTACACTCACGGAGATACTTATATTTGCCGAACGTAAGGCCTCAAACGGAGCGCCGTCGATTTCACCCTCTACTACTTACTACCATCACTCGTGCTCCCCTGCACAAAGCATACCTCCTCTGCTTTGGGCGCGCGTCATCTTTTCATCGTACGAGTATGTGTACTTGCAACTCAACTCCGACGCCTCGTATAATTATACATACACCCATTGCCTTGGATTTGGATGTACGCGCGCTTGGATTATACCTGCTAATACCTATATGTACCTGCTTTATACGCTTGGTGGAATTTTCTGTGTCACGTACGAACGTGGAAATTGTTGTAAAAAAAAACATGTTCCATTTTCGACAAAGCGGCATCGTAATAGGGAGATTCACGCGCAGATTCAGCTCGATTTTTGCAATCCAAAAAACAATCGAAGCTCATCGGAGTTCACCTCCGGCTTTTATCATCAAAACTATCCCAAAAAAGCTCGGACAACGTAGACACGTCGAGGGGTGATTTACAAAAATCTGGTGCCTAAATCCGCCCCCGTTCGAAATTAATCCGTCCCGAAAATTGTGTCCCCTCGCTGACGAAAAAAAAAAATAAATAAAATAAAAAAAGAATATCCTCACACCGAGTATATACTGCAACGCTTGTATCACGGATCAAAAGCTCGATTATTGATTAATCCACTTTGTGCCTGTTTTCTTTTTTTTTTTTTTTTTTTTTTTTTTTCTGTCTGTCCGTGTGCACATGACACAGCAATCAAACGGTGGCCTGGTAATGGTCACGTTCTACAACTACTTCGTCAACTGCGGCGAGCAGGCGACCGTGACCGACGTTGCGGCCCACATCTATCACATTAGAAATTTAATCGGAGTGGACCACGTCGGTGTCGGCGGTGACTTTGACGGCATTAACAAGTACGTATACACAATTTTGTTTTTTTTTTTCCTCCCACCAGGAAATATATTAGTACTTTTTTTTTTTTCCTTTTTCTTCTTAACTAACCGATACCCGCTATATATACGTTAAAATTGATCGATGAAATCGATTTCCAATCGGTTCGTTCACCCGGTGACGGGCATCGGTCGGCGTTTTTGCATTTAAAGCGATTCGCGGAAAAATGTCCCCTCATACGCGGACTGAGCAATAAAATCCGATTCAAACGCATATAATTGCTCGCAGGTGTAACGTTATATCGTACACCGGTACACTCACACTTGATTTATACGCGCAGGTATTTACAATTGCACCCACGAGCGTGTATCTTTAACACATATATATACAGGTAGTGCATACGTTCCCACAAATTTACGCGCTCTCGTCCAACTTTCACACACACTATGTAGACGCGCGCGAGCTGTGTATTACATCATTGTAACGGTTGAGTCTCGAGATATTATTATCCCCGTAACACGCTCCGATGAACAAATGACGCGCGCTTCCAACTGTACAATTACGTTGCGTGTGTATTATACACATGTCTACGGGGGCGAGAGAGCCCGAACAATCGAACGGGTAATTTTAATCGTGTCAAGTGCACGTTTGTTGTTTTTTACTTTGCCGCGTTGGAAAAATAAATGAATTTACAGAAAAAGGCTCGTACGGCGTTTGTTACCGCGAATCGGTTCGATTTATTGCTGCAATTGGCATTACATTGTATTTTTTTTCTTTTTTTTTTTTTTTTCTAATTGCTCCGTACACTTTCGTCTGTAATTGAAGATTGAAACAACGGGGGTCTGTTTCCACGATCATTAGACTCGACGCTGGGAAACTAAACGCGCAAACACAGCTCGGATGGAGTTTGTTGCAATGCCGAGGAAAGAAAAAAAAACTTTTCGAGCAAAAAATGGAAAGAAAGTCCGACTCTGTCGATTAATATCCATTTTGAGAAAGTGCAACTTTGCAGCGTTCAGCCTTACTCCCTCGCCGTTACAAGCGGAAGGAAAAACGAAAGCAACAGGAGTTGGAAAATGATGTAGCGTATATACTCATCGCTCGCCATTATCATCGGCTAAAAATTTTTCCTCAAAGTCTCGGAAAACCGGTTTCCTGCATTATTCGACATGAGATAAAACTGTTGCTCTCCGTTTGTCTTTCTTTATGCACTGGTGATGGTGTACTTAATAATTTCCTCGGTCACAATGCCAACATCCCATTAAAATATACAATGTTATATACGGTTTTATAATGTCTCCTTCGAGACGCCCATACTTGCCGTGAGGTAAAGAGAAAAAAGTAGGCCGATTCGTGAAAGATATATATTTTTGCCCGGAGCGGCCACGACGAGGGTGTACAGGTGCACTCTTGAATCAGCCCTCGGTCCTGTTCCCCCGAAAAGGAAATTTTTTCCTTCGCGAAGGGAGCACGCTCGTCTCGGTCCGTCGACTTTGTCGGTCGCATGAATAATATATCTACCGGCCGAAAGCCCGGCTACGGGTACACAGAGGGTATATATGTACATGCATATATACGTATAGGAGAAGAACCAGTCTCCTCCGAAGTGGAGGATAATGGAGTAAGAGCGGGTCGGCTAATTGAATAGCTTGAAATATTAAACGGCGCTCTTTTCTTTTTTCTTTATTTTTCTTTTTTTTTATTTTTATTTTATAGAACGCCCCGGGGTCTCGAGGACGTCTCCAAGTACCCAGAGTTGTTCGCCGAGCTGCTGCGCTCCGAGAAGTGGACCGTCCAGGATCTCAAGAAGGTCGCCGGACTGAATCTGCTCAGGGTCCTCGGCCACGTACGTATATTTCAACCTTTGTACGTCCGACCGTTGTCATCACGGTGTATTACTTGCTTGTGCTTTTTTTTTTTTTTTTTTAAATGTATGAAAAAAAACAAGATATTTTTAAGTACAACCCAACGCGTACATCAAATCGTAAGTACTTCAAAATATTCCCCGTCGATAATTACGAGGACGAGTTTTATCGTTAATTGCAACCTTATAAATATCATTGTGCACGTCATCGCGAAAGAGTAGTTTGGTGTATAATACACATAAGTATAGGTGGGTGGAATTGATCAAGCGGCTGACTCATAACGGACTGTTTCTACTGGATTCGGCCGCATCCTTAATTTCCCCTGGTATTACTGAGCGAGAGTTTGGGGTTTTTTTTTTGTTTTGTTACGTTTTTCGCCAACACCTTGAGTTTTCATTAAAGGTAATGCCATAAAGAAAACAAAAAAATACAGGAATGTGCGTACATGGTTTTTAGGAAAAAAAAAAAAAAAAAATCCCCTTACTCGTTTATGCCAGGCAAATTAATGAGTAGTCGATAAACAGCAGAGCAGAGAGAACAACGGGGTCTCCCTGTGTATGTGTGAATACAATAAGCGGTAACACGCCCGTGTGCAGCAGAGAGGCTTTTCCGTTCATGCATAAATACATGAATTCGCAGGTGGAACGAGTGAGGGACGAGATGAGGAACGCGGGGGTGATGCCGTCCGAGGAGGTCCTCGAGTCACCCGACACGACCGGCAGCTGTTCCCTCGACATAAACTCCGTGCAGCGCTCCACCATGGAAGTGTAAAATGAAAAACAATAACAACACAAAAATCATACCTGTACATGTACACCTATTATACGTCTCTTTACGCATTGGCGAACGAAAATACCTGTACACCTTTTCATCGGGCGAAAAGTACTTTACAACGACGTACGACTCTTTTTCTTTTCACGCAAAAATGCGCGCATATACATAAATATATACGTGTTTTACCATGTATAAAAGAAGAACAAGAAGGGAAAGAAGATAATGTACACTCTCCCTCCCTCCGACTCTACTACACAATAATACCCTCCGCCGACCCACGTATTATTACCGTAACTCTGGGAGCGCAAGCGTCATAAAAGTTCAAGTTTACATTGAGCGTGAGATGGACTAAAGGAAAAAGGACTTTCTTGCGACTTACGCGAGTCTACTTTGGAGCAGTGAAGAAGGACAGTACACACCTGCGTTACTTGCCATTCCACCTCTGTACCTACGTGTTTGATCATCGATTTTCAGCAAACGGTCTCGGCGAATCGGTCTGGGTGAATCAAAAATCTTGAAAATCTCTCGATTAATTGGTACAATTGGATGCCAGAGCAGAGCAGTGAGAGGAAACTCCCCGTTGGCAGCTAAAATCAATTAATTCGGACTGCATTGTGTGTCTCTCTCTCTCTCTCTCTCTCTCTTACCCCCCTCCGTTTCGCGAAATTTCCAATTCGACGTGCCGGCAAACTAATACAAACTTTGCATCCATATACATCGTACATGCACCGCCCTGCGAGTGTATCGTTCGATTTTACAGGAGAGAGAAGCTCCTCCGAGAGAGAGTTATGTGTACCGCTTGTTTTCCCGGGTATACATATATATATATAGGTACGTACTTGAGGAACGCTAGCTTGTGCACACGGTATTTTAGGTGTATACCTATGTGTGGGTACGTGGGTGCAAAATTGAATTTAGCGCTTCTCCGATACTAATGTGGTCCAGGGAGTGGGCCTCCATGTCTGCATACGACTGTCGAACTAACTATTTGTGTGTGCTTCCGGAGTGTGTTCCATTTGCTGCTGCGGCGGGAATGCATGTACGTGTGCGTTCCATAGGGCGTGTCAAGGTCCGAGATCGCGTGAATAATGGCAAGACTTTTAGGTAATATATGGATCTTCGCGTGTCTTATATACATTTGTGTGTTGTCTGATGTGTATCCACGAAAAATCTCTCGACGCTTCGTCACGTACCTAGAAATCGACAAGTTGATCAAACGAGACATTACAGTATATATATACCTATAGACTCTTCGATCGGATGAAAAAAAAAATCGAATCTAATGTGTATATTGTGCGTGAGTGTGTGTGACATAAAGAAATCGATTTTTACGTATATATACCTAACAATACACACAATTTTTCATGGACAAGGAAGGTTGTGATTTTTATTTGATATACACATAGTACTCTACTCTGACCTTTTGTACGCCGCGTGTACTTACGTATAATATTTAAGTAACCTGCGTCGGATTGCTCGTGTGTTTTTTTACAATGTATGCGTACATCTTTACGTGTGCAGTATAGAGGCGACGCGAGTTCAAGTGAGTTTTATTTTACCTCGTAAACTTTTTAAAAACCAAACAACAAAAGACTCGATAGGAGAGCTGCGATTGAACAAACTCGTCTTTTGTAAAGCGTGAACTTGATGTAGTCGAAAAAAAAAAAAAAAAAAAAAAAAAAAAAAAAAAAAAAAAAAAAAAAAAAAAAANAACCCTACTGTTTCATCGTGATTTTAATATTAAAAATGATGTGCTCGAGTGGTTATGTAAAAATGTAAATAATACTGTTTTTCATGTTGAGAACAAAAATTTCTTATACCGATGTACCGATCTATGTATATTTACACTGACACGACAAAAAACAAAAAAAAAAACAAAAAAAAAGAAGCTGTAAATGAAAAGTACGTGAAAACTCATCGATGTTGATTCTCGTTTGACGATTAGCGATTAAATTCACCATTTGCTGCTTTGTAAAATTAAAAAAAAAAAAAAAAAAAAAAAACATCAACATACCGCTGTACAATTTTTTACGTGTGAAATCAATCACCTCTGGTAGCGTTTATAATTATACATACAAGTAGACACGATTACACTTGAGCTGTACCGAAAAATCCTGAGCTCGTATTTTTCCTCCCGAAAAAGGTAATTTTTTCGTGAACATCAGAGCCGAGCCACAAACCGTATCAAAAGGGGATGCTTATTCCCTCCTCCATCCACGTCTGGCCTCCTTCTTCTCTTCCTGCGCGTAATATACAGTCGGGGGAGTCGAAAATCCACTAGAGAATAAAAGGAAGGAAAATGCTCCGAGGCACACCGCACGCGCCCTCCGTTACCATTGTTAAGTACCATCACTATGAATTTATGAGCTCGCGGTGATGGCCAGGCGGAGGCTCGGAATGACGGGGTGGATATAGCTCGGGACGCAAGAAAACGAGCCAGTCGGACGATCGCGACGACTACTCGACGTTCAAATATCAATTAACCGAAACGCTTTTCCCCTTTGAAAGTTTCCTCCCGATTATTTACCTTCAATGTATTTTTTCATAAATATTTTTTTTATTTTTTTTATTTTTGTGTATTCGCTTTACCGTGTGTTTTCACGATTAAAAAACGCAGCTCGATCGAGCCCAATACTTTTCCCGATGCGCTGGCCTATCCGTCTCTTTCGCCCTCTGCGCTGGAAAAATCGAACGCCGAGCCGTCAAATCGATAGATAATGCGAGGGTGGTGAGAAAAAAGAGGGGGAGGGAGACGACTCTCCGGGGAGACCGTGTGCAGCGATACGTAGAGGAAAAAGGAAAGGAAAGCCAGGGGCAGGGTATACGCGCCGTCAAAGAGCGGGAAACGGTATGGGTGGAAAATCCGTGGAAAAACCTACATTCGGTGCTCTGATGAGAAAATTTTGGTTTTCGGGGATTCCGCCGGGCCGCGATGGAGACGGTGGGGTCCTTTGTTACTTTGCATGGTTGTCGGAGTGGTGTTTTATTAGGTCGTTTGCAGCGCCGATGGACGGAGGAGGAGCTCTGTATAAAACATTCTTTCTTCGCTGGAGCTTCTCGGGTGCCCTAAAGTCATCTCGTCGAGTCAAATATTGAAACAAGGTAACTTGAAAAAGAGCCGCTCACGAAGCGGTTTCCCGACTGAAAGTCATGTACACGGGAAAAGCTCTCGTGTTTTGTTTTTATTACTTTTTTTTTTACCAAATACGGATTCGCTCGTGGAATTTGTTGGATTTACGGTAAAAAATGTTATTCGTGGCTTACATTTTTTCCGTTCAAATATTTGTTAGCTTGGAACATCTCTCTGATGGTTTTCTCTTTGGAAATCGCAATAAAAATGTGTAAAGTTAAAAATCATTATGAAGCAGTGTTTCGAGAAAATCACGAAAAAATTACATTTTCCACCGATATTTCATGTACACTTGCGAATAAATTTCATTGACCACTGGGACACACTGGATGATAAGAAAATTATTTGTTTGAAGCTGGAAGTACTTTTTTTTAAAAACAGAAAAAAAATTCCAAAACAGAAACATTTGCAGTGCGTGTCTTAAATGTAAAATATAAATCAAGTGATTCAAACACCTATAATTGTTCATTAACAATAATGTTCGAGAGCGTATGATACACAATCAGATTCATAAAACAATGACAGTACTCGATTCTCCGAAATTTTAAAATCTGTGTCAAAATTTCAATAATTGTACTGCTCTAATTCCTTAAAATATACAATGTTACGGTGTTTTTCCAAAACAAGCGCTACATGTAATGTTTCGATGTAGTCTTCGAGCGACAAAAAAGTGTATTACGCTACACATATACATCTACATATTTTACAATGAACCTAAGGAACGAAATTGTTTTTTTTTTTTTTAATCAACCTTAAAATATACATACATACATGTATTAAGTGTACCAATCGAATGTAATAATTTTTTTTTCTAATTTAATAAAAATCTAATTTTCACATTAAAACCACAAACAATGTAGCATAAATATTTTCATTAATAAAAAACAATTATTATACATTATGTACAACCTTATACCATTTCATCGCTGTAGGAATACCCCCTATGGCCAGAGATTATTGGGTTATCGAGGCTCCTTTCCCCCCTTACTCACTGCAGTTTGACGAGAATAGTTTCCTCGTCACAGTAATATTAATAGCATACGTGCAATATAATATTAATAATAAATTTTTTGGATTACATATTATATACTTTACTATCGTGTGTATTCACATACATAATGTGGTAATCTGGACAAATGAAGAAATAAGGTGTTGTTATTCATTTGCCAAAGCTTTTATTGTATATGCATTTACAGTTAATCTTTGTAGTACCACAATTATGTAAAAAAAAAAATTTATTAATAGACACCGAGAATGGAAAAAAATAATAGTACAGTAAAAAATCTGGATCACTTTGCCACAACAGTAGTACAGTATATATACGATAATAATACGTATGTACTTACGTGAGAAATTCTAATCGCAATGTGAAATTCCGCGAAATGAATTTGACGATGGTTTTTTGTTTTTCTATCCAACGTGCCGATTTTTTGGTTACTTGATACATTTTTTATGATACAAATGCCCTTGATTCATTCAGCGGCAACAATAGAATTTTTTTACTTGCATTTTCGTTAAAACTACCCAAGTATAATTTACGACGATTTTCTTAATTGATATACCCGAGCGATGGACGAGGAAGAAAAACCGGATGGAATCGAAAGCCTCGTGGAGGGCAACTCGTTGAGTGCGTTATCAATTAAATTATACCATTGCTGTGATTGGCAATGGAGAGCAGCACATGTAACGATATTTTTCGAGATCTGTAGTACCTTGATAAACTGCAGGTGATTTGATAAACACGGAAACAAAGACAGAGCCAGACGAGGAGGACGACGAGGACGAATGGAGCTGCAGCGACGAGGTGGTGCACGAAAATCAATTCGTCATGATTCGACCCTTTAACGGCGTCGGTAACAGTAAGTCGATAAGCGTTATTTTTACGAACAACGTTAAATACGATTATTTTGAATCGTTTACGCTACAAACTTTGTAGGTGAGCTTTTCTTGTTCGAAAAATCGGACGAGGCAAGTAGTGGTGCACCAAGTCAAGGTGATAAAGTCGACACGACTGATAACGTGCAGGTGAATTTTAATTCTCTGGTGGAAAACGCTTTGGTCAATGTCGGTGGGTAAAAAATCGGCTCAGTTTTTTGGCCATGCAAAGATAGGCCTTTTATTTGAGCTTTTGATTATTTAAGAAAATTTACCGTCAAACGGTGCGTACGATGATATCTTCGAGGCGCCAATCGTCAAAAAATCGGCTAGCGTAGACGCGAAATCGGAAAAATCGCCAAGTGTGGACGGTAGATCGGAAATATCGACGAATAGAGATCGGAAATCTGAAAGGTCTAGAACTCCGATCGAAAAGAAGGGGAAAGCTGCTGGTAGAAAAGGTTTGATAGAAAAAATAATTTTATCGGTACGAAACGGCGTTTCGCGTGAAAATGGGTGTTTTTTAATCAGGAAAAATCAATGCTGCTAAAAAGAAATCTGCGACGAGTGTGAAACGTAAGCCGGCCAATCGACCGGTGCGTAAAAGGTACAGTAGGCGTCGCAGAACGTACGTAAAATCCTACAACGAAGATGATTTGATGGAACAACACATAAAGGAGTGCTTGATGAAATTTTATCTGGAATATTGACATGATAATACGATACCCCAAGTATCGCAACATAAATTTTGTTGCGTAAATTGTAAGGTTTGATAAATAAAGAGTCTTTTTATTTTTTTCTTTCAATGTAAAAAATATTTTCTGAAAGCCATCATTTATACAGAAAAGTTTGCATATAATGCACGTTAAGAAAAAACAAGACAAAAAAATCGCATCAATCGACAATTAAATACTGTACATAACAATCATATATTACAATACCCAAAGGTTACTCGTATTTTACAACAAATTAATTCCTTCCGAGCTGCACTAGTGCCTCTTCTCCTTTTTCGACTTTTTCCTGCTTTTACTCCTTGATCGCTCCTTGTGCTTGTGCTTCTTTTTTTCTTTTTTAGATTTCTTCTCTTTCTTGACAGATTTTTCCACCCAAACGGCGCTCTCAGACTGTACAACTTTTCTGGAACCGGTAAAGATCGGCCTCGAAATCGAAACATCCGTCGTTTCTAGAATCGATTGGGGAAGTGCCGGCCCATACACATCAGGAGGCACGCTGTCCTCTTTTATATTGGCTTCGTGTTCGTGTTCGCTTTCTTTGGAAGTCGAAGAATTGCTTTTATCATCCGATTGTTCTTCTTTGGTCTTATTTTTTGACTTTGCCTGCGGATCATCCGGTTTGACTGGACGTTTGAGTAAACTATCGAGGTCTAGTTTCGCAAAGACTCCTCGTGGTGGCGACGTGTTACGTTGGGCATTTTGCTCGGCTGCACTAGTACCTATCAGAGCAGCCTTTACCTTTTCATCGTCGATATTAGGTTGTTGAGGCGTCTCCTCTGCTTCGGTCTCTGACTCGTCACTATCCAGAAATATCGACTTGAACAAGTCTTTTTTCTCTTGCGAGTTTATTCGTGCCGAAGGTTCTTCCTGTTCTTTTGAGCCAGACTCGTTTTCTACCGCAGAGTTCTGATCATCTGGTTTACTGCTCGATCCTGAGCTTTTGCCAAATATTTTGTCGTACGTTTCTTCAAAGGATTTATCCTTTTCAGATTTCGGCTTGTCTTTAATTTCTCGGGTATCGGTATTTTCAACTCTTGTTCGGGATTCGTTGAAGGAACGACTGGATGCAGCAACTGTTCCGGGCACATCATACTCCAGCTTTTGGCCTGTTTCAAACTTTGACATTTCATTCCAGGACATATTATCGAAAATAGAGAATTTTTTTTTCTTCTTTTCATCAATCGCAACACCAATATCGGGTTCAGCGATATTGAATCTAACGCAAACCAGCTTACCAGGCCTCCATTCTACATCTACTCTGGTTAGTTTACCAAAAATCTTCATCTTGGCAGCGGCCATCATTTTCTCGTCCCCGGTCAAACTCTCAAGATCTATTTTTTTCTCTTTCTTTTCTTGCGCCCTGTCCTTCTCCTTAACAGCATCGTTGTCCAACTTTTCGCAAATCTTTGCTGCTTTCTCAAAATCCTCGGTTTCGCGATCGCGCTCCCAATCGTTCATCGAAAGTGGCTGAACGCTAGGAAACTTGAGCTTGCGCTCGCTCTCCGAAAATTTCAGATACTGTTCAAAGCGACGCTGCTTGTCCAAATCAGCGAACGACGGTCTTGACAAGCTCTTTGCTGCTGTTTCTATCTCTACTGGTTTTTCTCCAGAATTATCAGCCTCTGCATTAAACGCGTCAGAGCTCTGCAAGTTTCCTTGGATTTTGGGATCATTACCTAAAGTCTCGCCCCTGACAAAAGCTGTAGAAGAGAGTTTGTCGAGCCACGACATGGCTGTCTTTTTTGGCCGAGCATTTTCTAATCTGGCTCTTTCTTCAGTTTGTTCTCTGCCATGTAGATTTAGAGAACGAGAGATAATATTAGCAGCAGCACTGGGAGTTTTGGATTGTGCAGTCTTTGACTCAGTGGTGCTGGAAAGGGCGTCATTTATAATTGCAGCTCGCTTTTCTGCATTCATTTCAGTCCTATGGTAAACGTAAAATAATTCGTAAATTGTTAGTTGAATCAAATTATTTAAGATTTAGAAAAAATTTGATACCTCTTGTGCCTGTCTTTTGGATCTTCTGGTAAAGGTTCGAATCGACTCGTTTTCAGTCTGTGTACAGGCTGAAAATCTTTGGGTAACGCAGGAGCTGGGAAGACTTTTTTCTGTGGAAACTGTTCTTTTGCTGGAACAAAACCCTCAACGCAGTTCTTTGGCTTTTCCTCTTTGGACCATCGGCTCTTGGACTTACGCTCGGGACCAAGAGCGAAATCATATCGAGACATATCGTCTTTAGCATAAATATCTTCGTCCTCGGCTTCAAAGGCTCCCACACCAAAAGCTTGGCCTCTGATAGAGAGCTTTTTATTCTTGTCTTGTACACTAAAAGCTGGGGCGTCAAATAAGTTTATGTGCCCACCGAGAATCGGTCGGCGGTCTAGACCACTGTAGCCAATTCCAAAATAGTTATCCTTTGGATTACACCTATCAAAACGAAAAATTACAGTCAAGTAAGAAATAGTTTTTTATATACTACAGTGTAGTATATAGTTTTTTATAAACTGTAAAAAAAAAAAAAAAAAAAAGAATTACCTAAAGGGCTCATAATCATCAGGTGCAAAAGTGATGTTTGTAAACTCATCGTCTGATCCTCCCGAGTCGCTTACACTGTCTCTTTCCTGCTGATTAGGCAAAGAGCAGCCATACATCTTAATCTTTTCTCTCTGCTTTTGCACCTTTTTTTTCTCTTTTTTAGTGAGACGTGGTCCCACTCCTTGACCAGGCCTCCATCCCATCTTCTTTAGTAACATTACTCCAACTCTTTCCCTGTAAATACATGTGTATGATTCAATCAAATTTGAATAAATTCTAGAAGACTTAAGTACTGATAAAAATCACACAAAACATAAAACATTTTCTCACTTGGCAGGCTTCAATAGTTCATGCAAAACTGGTGTACCAGGGATAGGCCCAGTACTATCGTGCTTTGCTCTTTCCCTCTTAGTTCCCCTATTACTCTGATCACTGTATCCTTGAGTCGCTCTAATTGCTGTTGGAGCAATACCAAACTCCCCAACGTCCTCCTCGTCCATAAAGTCTTCAGGTTTCTGAGAAAGACTGTCAGCTTTGCTGCTTCTTGTAGACTTGAACTGCTGTGGCTTCCAGCCATCTCTTGTCCCAACTGTGTTAAAGTAACCAGCCGAGAAACCACCAGTGAATGCTCCATGGAACCTTCTTCTGCCTTGTGCATCGTACGCAAATTGTTCTTCAACGGTGATGGGCTTCTTTCTTGGCAAACTGTCTGTAGAAATTTCATCGACATTTAAAGTAACAATGGGACCATGATAAAGTAAACATTGAGAATAATATACACATTCAACCTTCGTCCAAAGGATCAAGTGCTGTTCCATAAGTTACAAAATCATCATCACTGTCACTCATTGCAAAATCAGTCCCTCCTCAATAATAAACGAATAAACACTTGAATACTTAATTACTCAAGCAATAATATGATGATATTTGTCAAATTCTTTGTTAGGTTAGAACGGTACAAAGGCGAATCTATTTCCCACTCCACCCCGATCGGAAATTGACTCTACGGCAAGTATAGGGACCTTACATTTTGCCGGAAAGTAAGTATACGGACCTCTTTCGCCGTCTTGAAGTTACCTTAATTAATGTGGTGTTACCAGGTAACTTTCCGGGCAGTTTCCATTTGCCGGAAGCACTATGGACCGTATACGTACCATAAAGTACCCGTACATGGCCCGGAAGCATGCAAAAATATGCTAGTCAAAAGATTAGTTACAAAAAATTAGCACACCAGACGCTCAAAAGCGCTCAAAGTAGGAAAATAATGTAGTAAGGGATGACTTAATGGAAATAAATACACTGATTTAAAAAAAATAATAGATTTATCACATAAAAAAATATAATTATGTAAAAATTATTATCGACGATAGCGGAGTAAGCGGTGAGTCTATTGGTCCATTAGATCGGCTATGGTCAGAGATCTACTCATCTCTGCTATTACTCTATTGGATCGGCTCCGGTAGACGTGCTCGTGTCCGAAGCGGAGGGTCTATTGGAGCAGCTCCAGTAGACCCTACGCTCAATTTTTATAAATTCACTAGTCCTCGTATGCGGAGGGTCCATTAGATCGGCCCCGGTAGACCATATGCTCACTTCCTATGTATTCACTAATGTCCACAGCGGAGGGTCTATTGGAGCGGCTGCGGTAGACCCGCCAGTTCCCGTAGCGGAGGGTCTATTGGATCGGCTCCGGTAGACCCTGTGCTCACTGCCTAGAAATTCTCACTCATTTAATTTAACATAGAAAGATCGACGGCCGATAAAAAATTTACCGCAGGGTCCTGTCATACCGACATACATGGAAAATACCTGCCGTACCGACGTCACGAGTCGATAAGGACTATTACTGGCAGGTCCCTGCCATGCCAACTGTAGATACCCTGACTGCCGACACGAAAAATTCCGTGTGTGAACGTACTTATCGATTGTGTGCTGTCGGTACGGCAGGTATTTTCCGTGACTGTCAATAGGACAGGACCCTGCAATAAATTTTTTATCGGCCGTCGATCTTTCTACATAAAATTATTTGAGTGAAAATTTCTAGAAAGTGAGCATATGGTCTACCGGAACCGCTCCAATAGACCCTCCGCTGTGGACATTTTTGTGATTTTATAGAAAGTGAGAATAGGGTCTACCGGAGCCGATCCAATAGACCCTCCGCTACGGTAACTGGTGGATCTACCGAAGCCGCTTCAATAGACCCTCCACTATGGACATTAGTGAATACATAGGAAGTGAGCACATATGGTCTACCGGAGCCGATCCAATAGATCCTCCTTAATTTTCGGACACCATCGGGTCTCCTTGACCGGTTCGGACACTAGCCTAGTAACTTTTGATATATATAGAAAATTTCTTTCAAAAGAGAAATATGCTACTTTTTTCGTTTATAATAAGACTCGCTAGATAATGCCGATTCACACAATTTTTTTCTTTTTTTTTTCTTTCACAAATCACAGTACTCATTACGAACTCTTAAACATCGGTGTGAAAATTGAGTTGTCACTGAAATTTTGAAGTTTGTTTATACCAGTGGAAGTCATCGACAAGTAGAGTTCTTACAAGTCTACAGATTATGCAGCGTTACCAACTTGCCACGAGTCTGAGTCTGAGACCCATGTGTATATATAGGCACCTACTGCTTGGTGTGAGCGTGTGAGATAGCGTTTGTATATATCAGTACTGAGTACTACTGACTCAGTAACTACTGAGTACGTGAGTACATCATCACTTAGTTATCCCCCCTCCATCTCCATACGACACTGATGTTAACGGGATAACTCGACAGACGTCTGCGTGTGAAAGATGAACGTCACGTGTGTAAAACTCTCTTAAACACCGGGCAATCCGGGCAACCCGGTGTATAACGACAAAGATAAGATAAAAACCATTTTCATTGATTTTGTGTTTTACATCTTGCTTCTACGTAAATTAAAAAAAATTGTTGAGTACAGGTAAGGTATTTCTATAAACTAACTGACCATTAATCTAATCGCGAAGATCATCAGTAAACGTTACTTTCAAATAAGTTTTTTTATTTTTTCAGCTGTAGCTTTTTTGTAAGCATTAAGAAAAGTTCTTAATTCTTTACTTTCTTTGATAAAACTAAACCGTCAATGATGGACGACTGGGACAGTTGGTCTATTTTTCTTAGGCAACAAGTTTTACGAACCAAAATACCCCTCACTTCAGAAGCCATTAATGGTAAGAAGTGTACTCTCCCTTTATTCTCTCCTATGTAAATATACATTTTTCTAAATATACTCAACATAATGAATGATTTTACAGAAAGAACAAAGCTATTGAGAGGCACATACATTCCATTTGAAAAGTTTCAATGTGAAACATTGGAAATAATGTTAAACAAGATTCCAGGTGTGGTAGTATTTAAGAATGATGACAAATATTACGTACTAGCTGCACCAACCAATGAGGAAAAACATTTTGCGGATGCTCCACAAATAACTAGCATTGAGAAAAAGTTAAACGTTATCTATGACCGAGTATGTAATGATATGGGTAAATAAAGGGTACATGAAGAAAATTGGAGAAACTATACGGGTTTCAATTTTATTTTTTAGTATTCGCAGATTAAATCAAATGCTAATAAGATTAAACCAAATGTAAAACTTGTCACTCCTAAGGCTAACGAAAATGAAAAACCACAGATTGAATCTCATGTCGCTCATACTTGTATTGCAACAAAAAACAGGTATGCATTTTTTATTTCAAGTTACAAATAGATGTAGTTTTTTATATTTTATGATTACAGTAGTAATTTCATATCTGATAATAGTACCCATGGCACAAAGCAGATGTACTATAACCCACCAGTACAAGTAAGGAATACCCAAAGAAAGTTTGTAAATCTTAATAGATCTGTGCCTCATTCAAATTTCACCTATAAAAACTGCAATCAATTTTCATCGAACGGAAAAAATCAAAGATCCGTGCAAAATAGACTACAAGAATACAAATCCACACCAGAACCTACACATGGACCGAATCATAGATGCGCTAATTTTACCACTCGGGTACTTTCACAGCATCAAAACCTTAACAAAAATCTGGATGAATCTGTGTTGGCCATGCCCCTGCAACAAAAAAATGTGAATGTCAATCAAAATGCCCTCTTACAAGGTGGTAAAGTAAATTTCAGTCCTGCACAACCTGTATCACTAATGCAAGAATACAATTGGACCGTTAGTATTTAAAGCATTAAAATTACAGTCAGAAAAGTACTAACAACAAAATCGTAATATAACAAAAAAATTTCTCTGTTACAGGCTGATGATCCACGTTTGTATTTATATTGTTATACACAAACTAAAAACGTACCTCGGCCAGAATATAAACATTTACATACTTTAGATAATATATATGCTGTAGTGGTTGTAAGTAGTAAAATGCTATTTAATTTTACTATTTCGTATTAAATATTTATTTATCAATTACCGTAGGTTGACTCAAATACATACAGTTCGTTTCCTCACATTGCCCTATCAAAGGAGGAAGCTGAGAAATATGCAGCAAGCTGTGCCTTAGAAATTTTGTTAGGCAAGAAGACTATTAATACAAATATTTTTGCTCATTCACAAAAAGTCATAAATTTAGAGGCTTATGATGTTCATTATATTACTAATACCCAGGCATTTGCAAACTATTATTTTAAATTATGGTTTTTAATTTATTATAATAGTATTATGTACCTCAATCATTATTACAATATCATGCGTAATAGTTTACCTCAAGTTTTTCTTTAGTACATATTTTTACATTAAATTTAAACTATGGTACTTATTTTGAAAAAAGTTAAAAACATTTTGTGTCAAAAATTTTTAGCAAGTTTGAATGCTTACGTATCACAAAATCATTAAAACTAATTCTTTTTTCAGAGTGGTCATAAGCCACATTAGTATGGAGATGGAACAACAATGGATTTTTTATGCTTTAGGCTTTTTAACAAATTATTTTTAATATTCAAAAAGTTTTGCTTTTTATTTGTTTTTCCATGTAATCACAAATTCAATAAAATTGTGGTTGAAAGTCAATGATCGAGAATTGTTTAACAAAAGACTTGGCAATAAATATTTTTACACTAAAATTAAAATCATTCTATACTTAAGGCTGTATGTGTACATGATGAATCTAACAAAATTAATGCATTGTAATTTTATCGTTATTAAAGTAAAAAAGCGTTCAATAGCCAATAAGTTGCATTTGTTGACCTTAATGCGATTGTTCTCCAAAAATTTCGAGTCATCGTCAACAAGCTAAAAGGTACGATTTCATAAGATGTTACCAAGGTACACATATATTTAATGTTTCGAATACCGCACTTCAACTGTTTTAGCGTAACTGTTAGTAGTATACCTATATGTATTTTGAAAAGTCAAAATTCGGTTGTCCAACCCATACTTATTTGTAGTCCTTATACTCCTTATCCTTAAATGCTTATTTGACAGCAAGTTTACCAATCTTAAGCCAAAAGGATTATTTCGTAATTGCTCGTCAATCTGATTCGGGCATTTTTTTTGTCTTCGGTGTACACATAAGTTTAGTTATCTGAATAATGTGCGAAACCATAGAAACTTGGATAGGCAGAATTCGTCAATGCATTAATGCATCAAAAAATCCACTGACTCTCCATCAAATAAATCGTAAGTCAAATACGTATTGTTGTCTCAGTAAATTTATTTTTTATAAAGTTGATACGTTCATATCTTAATGTATACATAATTACGTATGTCACTGCTTGCCTTGCCCAGGAGATGTGAAATTACTTAATGGTAGCGATATACCATTCAGAAACTTTGATTTCACGTCCTTAGAAGAAATGGTGAATACAATACCGGATTTGACAATAATAAGCAAAAATGGCGAAACGCATGTTCGTTGCAAGATTGGGAAAGAAATTTCCCATCAAAAACGAAAACTAAAGCACAATAAAAACCAGAGGAAGTTGAAAATTTGTTATAATAAAGTAGTCAAAGAAATCAGCTCGCAAACAGACTGGTGAGAATCAAGGTAAGTAATTATAAAAAAATAACAATAAAAAATACTACAATTTTTAAAAGTTAAACATGATTTTTCAGTTGCAGTAAAGCTCTTAAGAAGCAACCAGTCATATGGAAGACCTTTTTCTCCATTTTTCTATCTACTTAAATCATTAGAAGTACTGCAGCTAATATCTTTTTTTAAACTGCAGACTTGCGAATTAAACTGCTTAACAATGTGTGTCAATTGATCTTTATACTTTTTATTGTATTTATTACTATAATATTAAAGTTATGCGTACATGTGTAAAATGTAAATGTTATTAGCATTATGAAAATATTTCTCTTTATTTTACAGTTCAAAATTATGTTTAAAAATTTATCAAAACATTAAATACAATGAGCATCTTCAGTGAATAGACAATTATTTTCGTTGCACTGTAAATACATGTTGATCTATCTGTTGACAGTAAGTAAGTTGATGATAAAAGAAAGATAAGTGTAATACATAAAGAGAGATTTCTATATTCTCTCTGCCCAAAATGCCTATGTGGGCTTCATGTCCAAGATATTGAACATATTTTATGGTACTATGCAAATTATGGTGCCCACAGGATACCCTGGACACCACCAACCCTAAAACCTGCAAAATAATTTTTTAAAATAAAATTAAATACAAGCAAAACACAACAACTCTTCTAAAAGATCCCACGCTCCCTCCAGCAATAATTATCACCGACATCCTCAAGAAAAACATTTTTTTTTAAACATCGCAATAACCCAATACCTTTTCCAATTTTGTTTATACATAATGTGTATATGTAGGTATCTGTACCGGCAAGTTGGAGTTTAAGCAACAAAAAAAAGCCTAAACTGTGACATATGACATTCGCCCGCGGGGACGGGGAGTCCCTGTAACTACTCAACGCCATCTAACGAACAGCAACAATAACAATCTCCCACTTCACCGACCCCGGACCCCCCTCTCCTATCAACTTTTTAAAGCAGGTACTAACACGCATGCATTCACCTCAGAGCCTTTACAGATGGTGGGTCGTGTTGTGGGTACTTAATTCCGTATGTATATACAGAGCCAGAGCCATCAGATCAGAGCTACCAAGGAGTAACGAGGCATCAAACCATCAGACGCTCTTCGGCGTTGTTGTTGAGCGGATCATTCGTCTGCCTTGGCCTGGAATTCGCGGATTTTCTCTCTCTTTTTCCCGGGGAGTGTCACACTACTTCACTTGTGAATTGCTCGCGGTTGAAGCCAACAACGGACTCTCATGTCCTCGTTTTATCGCTGAATCGTTGACAGCAAGTAAACTGATTAACCGGTGAGTGTTGTCATTTTATTTTGTTTACCATTATTACAACGTACATTAATATTTTGTCGGGATGTGTGTAGGAGCGGCTGGAAAAATTATTCTTGTGTTCTGCTGCGTCATTGAGAATTTCAATCATCGCGTATCACTTACATGTGTCATTTGTACAACAACCATCTACCGTATTTGTTGCTAGATATCGCCAATTAAAAAGGTCTACGACTCACAGTAGTAGGTATTACAGGCTGGAAGAGAGAGAGAGAGAGAGAGACCGCGTTTTTCAAGTGAAAGGTGTGTAGCGCATACCTACCCATACAATAAGTACAGTGCACATGTTGTACATAGATAGTATACCTAGAAGAGAGCGTCAAATCGTGATCGCAGCTTTCGCGGCAATCCATCCTCTCCCTCGTGGCCTTTTTAATCTCCGCGTGTGCCGCGAAAAATCTCTTTTCTGTCTTATAGGTATAATAGCTACAAAAAGTAGCGGTTCAATCAAGTGCCGCTGCGATGGCCCAAATTGCCGGGAGAGTACAAAGGTGGTGGGGGTCGAGGCAAATTGGCATTTTACTCGCGTGCTCGATCGTCTAAGAATGCGATTAACGTTATTATGATTGCACGTGTGTGTAGTTCCCTATCGTTATCGAGTTCCTAATTGTTTTTCTTTTACTTTTTCGTTTCTTATCTGATGTTTGTACAACATTTATATGTGCGTGTGTATGTATGTTCTTACCTTGAAGTCATATTTCATAATCTTGAATTTAAAGACATGTTGCGAGTATGGTGTGTGGCCCGCACATTAATCGAAATATTCTTCCAAATCAAGATAATTATATCGCATAGTATATACAAGCAGTTTGAATGTTCTATTGAATAATTTATTTCTCTGTTAAAGCTAAGTAAATCATCATCAGAGCATGCGAGCAAGTGGTTTTGTCGTCCATACGTTACTTTTTCTTCTCGAAGACTTTGTTTTGACGCGTGTGGCCGAACATGATTTTTCTCGTGCAAGGGTATTAGAATTTTCGCTCGCGTACGTTGCAAAACGTATAGGCTCTGTACGGAAATGATGCGTTGGTTAAGTATGAGGCTCTTTTACCGTCAAGCTTGAATCAGATGGCGCCAGGGCACTTCGCGGCTGTCATGGCCGTCTTACTCACACAACATTACTTTTCAGCATTGTATGTACATAGGAAAGTAAAGTGTAGTGGTAAAGCGCAATATTTGGAATTTTGAAATGAATAAGGAAGACAAGAAAGAATATTATGGGAGCTTAAAAGTTTCAGAATTGAAAAAGCTTTTAAAAGGGAAAGGAGCTTTTTTTTATCACACTATCAGAAGGAAATTTAAATTTCACTTTCTTATCGCAGGATATTACACTGCACTTCATTTTTCCTACTATCTTTAAACGTAAATGCAAACAAAAATTGTCTGCAAACAACAGCAATCATTTACAAAGGTTATGTCTTCTGCTTTGCTCATTACACAGATAGGCTCACGAACACAATACACAACTGTAAATTTGACGGTGTGTAAGTGCGACGGCCATAACAGCTGCGACGTGCTCTGGCGCCATCTGATTCAAGCTTGACGGTAAAAGAGCCTCATTAAGTTGGTACCTACCCCCACCCTGGCTCAACTAACTGACCGTGTGTTCGCACATGTAAACAATAGTTAATCAGCTGATTAATTGTTTGTGTGTATTGTTGTTTGTGCGAACGCACGTTCAGTTAGTTAAGCCAGGGTGGGGGTAGGTACCAACCCAAAAATTTAACCAACATATCATTTCCGAACAGAGCCATAATGTAACCAAGCAATTACTTTTCTTATTCGGTGTGGTATTGTGTTGTGCTACTTTGGTCGACATGTGAAAAAATTCCGTTGCGGTTTATGCATTAATGATGGATTGTCCTCTCGCTAGTCATTTATTTCGTGTTATGCACTTGTAAATGCTTCGAGTCATACTCCTTTTTTTTCCAACGATCGCATGATTACGAAAATAACAATACGAAACAAAATTATATAGTTATAGTAGTTTAAAATTCTCTTCGCATAAAAACTATTTTATACGAGTTTCTTATCTTTTGCTGTTTAATAGATTTACGCAGATTTACAAGTTGTATCATAAATCGTATGTTAAACAGTTAACCCATATAACTCTCATGTGACATTTAAAAAATGTTCATGTCAAGCTTCATTTATTTTCTTTTTGATTAACGTTAAAAGCCTTGAAGCAGTTAAAATTAATCCAGATAAGCTCGTTTCAAAGGCAATTATGTGACACGTAAATACTGTACAAATTGGTACTATCTCGCTTTACTATACTGACATTCCTCTTTTTTTAGAAAATTTTTGAACGGTAAAATACAGTAAGCTATGTAGCTGCAACTCATGCAACGTTTTTCTTCGTCCGTTCAATTACAGTTCATTGACACAAAATAATATTGTCAGCTGTTTTAAAATTAAAATTTTTTGTCCCCTGTAAATTAAGCAAGTCGATCATTCAATGGGGATACACTTCGAAAATGAATTGACTTATATTCAACAACGAAGAATACCAGCAGCTGTTTAAAAACAAATTAGCGCCAATGTCACTTTCAACCGTAGAAGAGTAACAATTTTAATTTAAAAACGAATGCATTATTGCATAAAATTAATTTTCAGATAACTTAGATGAAAACAGCTATACAGTATGAAATTTGATCAAATGTGAAAGCGTTTGATCTTGATATTTTGTATGTCTACTCTCGAATCTTTTCACTCGAAAGGCGTATACAGACTTGCGCGGCCGCATTTTTAAACAGTTTTTTGTTGTAGAGAACTTTGACATCATGTGATACTTAACCTTTTCGCCCTGAAAACAATCTAGCCTCTAGGTAATTGTATTTTATTAATTGATCATGTTGAAAGTAATCATATCAGAGCATGTTGTCAATTAAACTTGAAAACACATAAATAATTAATCACAATAAAAAATTCTCGCTTTCCGTGTTATTCTTAAAACTACTAAGGCATCAAAAAAAGCAACTCATATTTTGTAAAACAAGGCTCTACTGCGCTCCGTCCGTCGTTTTTCATTCTGAGGCTTCGTCGTCAAGAATATTGTCATTGTCGATGCTTAATGTGTGTATTTACGGGTTGCAATTTTTACATTACGATAAGTCCATACAGTTTAAACGTAGGTGTCTATCTTGGGTGCATTACAACACACGTTTGTTCATCACAATGGAGACGATTCCCCTTATATTTTGTCTGGTTGAGTTCCTTTCACTCTAGTTTTTAGGTTTTAACCCTATCTTCTTAAATACTTACGTATTTAGGTAAACATTTTCATCTACTAATTTTCATGTTGGCAGTAAATCACAGCTCAAAACTCGACGGTCTTTGTTATGCATTACGTAAATCATCGTACTTGCCTGTCATACAGTAAGTACTGTCTTAAAAGAAAAAACCAAATTAAGATTTAAAAAAGGCACACCCTGATTATTAAATTAAGTATTTCGCTTGTGTGTGTATATATAAAATTAATCACATAAGAAACCTGCGATCCAATATCAGCACACCAGCAACTATTTGAAATTGGAGTAGGATATGAGTGAATCTACCTTTATATATAGGTTTATATGCATGTGTTACAATCCTCGATGCACTTACATACCATCATCGCGTGCGATTGTCGGACTATTTCGTCATTGTACTCAGCCTACATAATCAAACAAAGAGAGAGAGAGAGTGTCTGGTGCGTAGGTGTCTTAAAATTTTATTACCTCTCAAGTGACCCCAAGAACTCGTCTCTAAGAACTATCGAATAGAGTAACCCATTGGCCGCTTGATAAATGACTTATCAGGAGCGAGAGTCGGTGTCAACTTACTTTATTTACTTTTTCGTCCAGGCTTATAGATTTGTAAAGTAGCTTTTCAGAATTTCGATAAGTCGTGCCGATGATAAAAATCTTGGTATTATTATTTTGATGGTCAAGGTTTTGCTGTGAATGTACGAGTTGTTTTCATTCTTTTCGTACCGTGTTAGAAGTTGGTGTTGGGTATTAGTAAACAAAGACATTTTAAAATTACCAAAAGTACGACTTTTTTCGGCTTGAATAAGTTATGAACATTTGTAAGTGTTGATTAACGTTTCATTTTTACATTCCCTCATGTAACTTAATAGTATATTAATCGATCATTTATAACTTTTTAAATCGTTAAAATTGCTAGAATTAAATAATAACAAAAAATCAACAATTGTATCAGATTTGTCATTAAAATCAGCGTTTAATCGACCCCTCGACAACTTAAATAATTTATTTCCATCTGCACCACGCGTGGTCACGCCACGAAAATATTTTTCTCATTACTCACTAGAAGCTCAATAAGCCAATACAGACAGATCTTTTGCGGCATCGCGGAAGTCCCCCCCCCCCTCTCTCTCTTTTATATAGACATCCCTCTAGTGCATTGCGCTTTGAATGGCTTAATTTATGACCTTTTCCTGGTCCCACACGCAATTGTAAAAGCTGTAAAAATGTAACAAGAGCTAGAACTTTTTTTATTTTTACAGCAGAGTTATTTTTAGTCGAAATTCTTGAAGATCAGTGAAAAGACTTGTGCACAAGAATAACTCGAATGGGTTTCTTTAACGTGATAAACAAACTTTGTTAAAATATAAAATTATTATAACTTCTCGAGTATGCATATTAATCGTGATAGTGAAAATTTTATTTTGGTTTGACGTGGTTATCCTTAATTATCAATAAAATAAACGAAAATTGTTTGTTTATAGGGAGTTTAACATCAAAGTAAAGTGTCCCAAAGGGGACTCAGCAGGAGAAGAAAGTAGAGGACGGTGCTAGTTGTAAAGTCGGAGACCTAACCATGAGTGAAGACTGGGAGAGCTGGGCATCGATCATTCGATCATGTCTGTGCTCGTCCAAAACACCTCTGACCCCAATGGAAATCAACCGTAAGATTTCGATTAATGCAATTATAAGAATATTAATCAAGTATTTTTAACAAATTTGAAGAAAAAAAATTGTGTATTTTAAAGAGGACGTGAGGACCCTGGAGGGCAAAAACATCCCTTATCGACGAGCTTTTGGGTACAATACGCTAGAGGAAATGCTGCGAAATATCGCTGATCTCAGAGTATTTCAGCAAAATGGACAGCTTGTAGTATCTGTGGTTCAAAATGAAAAAACGTCACATATTCAAAAAATGGTTCGCTTTCAGAAACAGAAAAAGAAAAAACCACGCACGGTAAGCATTTTTGTGGGTTTTGGTTGCTTTTGTTTAGAGGTGACATTTAATGTCTGTTTCAGCTTCCATCATTTTACAATAAGAATCAATATTACGTAAAGAAAAAGAATTATGGAACTGTGCCACAAAATCGACATAATACCCAGCAGCAAGGGAACAAATTTTCCGCTCCTAATTACAGGTGATGATTAAAGTTTTATTAATAAATTTAAAAATAACGTATATTATCTTAATAGTCCTATTTACATTGATTTTTCAGTTACAATAGAACTACATCACTTCCAAACGCCCATTCGTGGCAGACACCACAACAAAGTAAGCCGCCTCCTGTGTCCATCCCACCTAAGCCGATTATACCAAGCTCAGTGGCTCCTCTTTTATCCGCTACACCGGCAGCATTGCGACAACCGATAGCAACACAACGTCCACTCAGTGACAAAACCTCTGTACCGTCTATACCATCTGTACCTCCTGTACAAAAACAAACAAAAACTCCACAAGCAATTGAAATTCAAAAGCCATTGTCAGTACAGCAAAGACTGCAACAAGTTCAAGTTACTGCTCCCGTGCCTCTTTCCGCTCCTGTAATTCTACAAACCAATACAGAAAAACCAGAGGAAAAAGTAAGTATTACGTCAAATTCAACTGAAAAATGTTTGCCGTTAGTTAAAAATTTTGCTATTAGTTAAAAATTCATTCGTTACCACAAATTTTTAATAATTTTCAAATAAATAGTTCAAGTTCCTGAATAATTCTCAAAATGTGCCAAAACCAAAGACATTAAATGTATCCGAAAGACTAGTTGCTGCGAAAAATGGCACCTCGGTTTTACCATTCTTAGTAAGTATGAAGAAAGAAATAACTTGTGTATTATTTTTTTATCAAATATTTTTCAATCATTTTTCAACGCAGAGTGACGATCCTCGATTGAATCTGCTGAAATATACAACGGTTCGAGGATTAAAAGAGCCTATCTACAAGGACATAGGCCCAACCAAGGCAGATAAAAATATCTACAGCAGTGTTTTGGTAGGAAAATAACTTGTACTTATAATTGATTTGAAGAATGGTTAACATACAAAATTTTATCACAGATTGAAAAGGATAAAAAGTATAGTTCATATCCACAAGAAGCCAAAACAAAGGATGAAGCCGAAAAAATCGCAGCTAGATTAGCTTTGGAGAAACTTTTATTAGAAGAGAAAAGTCCCAAAGTGATAACCCTAGACATTAACTTGATGATTAAAAGAGTTATAAAGATTGTCAATGAACATCCCACGGGGGGGATGACCGAAATTGGTGTAGTCGATGTTTATAAAAAACAATTCAATGAAGGGTTGCCTCATGAGTGGTTAAAATATGTAGAAAATGACATTAAAGTAGAAAGAACTCTATCTGTTCAAGACATATGCATCTTATATCCTCGCAAAGAAAGTATGCCTACGCTAATAAGTCCAGTCCTACCATCTGAGCCAGATTCAGTGAGGTATCAGGACCTGGAAGAATTTTACCTTCACGTTTACGTCGCCTACAGTGTAACGGAAATTTGGGGTATCATCAACGATGAGAATTACAGCGTAGGTGTATTATTATTATTATTATTATTATTATTATTATTATTATTATTATTATTATTGTGCGTCAAAAGTATTGACTGATAAGCTCTTGATTTCAGGATCAAATTTTGGAATTAAGCTACTTGATGGGCGATTTCTACAGTAAGAATGTCGCTATGGTCTCACAAATAGCGAATGGCTCTTACTATGCTGTTTTTGACAATGAATGGCATAGAGTACGCTGCCTAAAGTATGATGAGCAAACAAAAGAAGTCACAGTGTGGTTCATTGATCGAGGAGATGAAGACGTGTACCCTGCGAATCGTTTAAGGCCTCTTGCACCTGAATTCTGCACACTGCCCGCGCAAGCAGTGCGAGTATCGATGGAGGGATTGGAGTTGTTTGATGATTTGGCTGATATCACTAATGATTTAGATGATTTACTACTTGAAAAGGATATACTGGTCATAAACAAAACGTTGGACTCGGATTCTGTCAGTAATAGGAATCAGAACGTTCTTTCGGCGGAACTCTTACTTACGTCTGATGGCGATATTCAGACTCGTCTCAATGACCACGTGAGAGATATAATTTTGAAAAAAATTGATCCAACCTACCACTTATCATCTGTAAGTTTCTGTACTTTCCTTGTGGTAAACAATTGTTATACTGATATTGTATCTATATGTATTTACACTTTTCAGGATAAAGTTTCTCAAGAAGCTTATATATCATGTGTTACTGCTGATGCAGTCTATGTGCAATTAGCTTCCAAAGGAAAAAAGCAATTAGACGAATTAATTAAAAACGTTGCCAAAGAATTTCTAGACAATGTTTACTTCAAACCCCGACCTGTCTTGAGTCTCAATCCTTCCAAATTGTATATGGCCAAGAGTGTAGCAGATAAACTCTGGCACAGAGTAAAACTGATCGAAATTATTAATGATAATGAAGCGCGGGCTTTTTGCGTCGATGAAGGTAACGAAATGACTGTTAAAAAGACTGAATTGGTTTCTTTAGAGGATCTTCCAGAACTGTTGAGTCTGTTCCCGCATCAGGTATGTGTTTTTAAAAAAATGAGTTACTTCAATTTCTTGAGTTTTTCTCAAAGTACAACTAGATTTTTCAATTTTAGGCGGTTAGAGTAATTTTATTCAAGATTGGCAATTCTTCGATTACTTTTGATGAAAAAGTAGTGAATCGTCTTCGCCAATTAGCGCCTAAGACTGAAATATTTTACATGAAAGTATTTGATGTATGGGAAAATGTTCCAGTAGTCGTGTTCTACAAGAGAACTCAAGAAAACAATTTATTAGCTTCTTTAAATGACAATTTAGTAGTAGGAATGGAGCTGTCGTAAGTAAATTTGTATATGTTTCTATTCTAATGGTTAAACCAAGATTTGTTTTGAAAGTAACTATTATATAATATTGTTAATAGATCAAAGGATAGTAACAATAATAATAACACCAAACGTATTAGAAATGAAAAGTCATCTGTAGAAACAAAAAGTGACTTTCCACTGGAATCACCAAATATTCCCGCGATCGGAAAAGAATTTGATGTCTACGTCACAATGGCAGCTCATCCAAGCAATTTCACTGTGCAACCGTTAAGCAGTGCTAAAGCTCTCGAGGTAATGTTTGTTGATTTGCTTGTATGTCAACTCATAAGCAAATTTTAATTAAAACTTGAACTTGATGTGCTTTCGTTAGAATCTGATGACAGAATTGTCAAGAGTGTGTAATAAATATACTGGTCCCCCTCTTACGTTCAACAACGTAAAACCTGGGAACATTTATGCTGCAAAATATGATGGTGATTCTAGGTGGTACAGGTAAGCACTCTTTGTTTTATTGGTGGATTTGGTCTAATTGTTAATACTTAATAGTTTAATTAATATAATTTTTTTTAGAGGGTACGCTTCAAAAATCCTCAACAAGAGTATTTGCGTTATTTACTATTGTGATTATGGAGATTTTAGAACAGTAACTATGGATCAGTTACAGCCCCTTGATAAAAAGTTTTTGTCATTACCCTACCAAGCCATTAAGGCAAAATTGTACGGTAAGTAAAACTATATGTTAAAATTATAATATTCACAGTGCAATGCTAGTTTTAATAAAAATACTTTTATTTCAGGCATAACTCCAGTTTTGAATGACTGGTCGGTTGGCGACTCTTTGCGTTTTCGAGATTTAATCGTTGAAAAGTCATTCGTTTCTATTGTCAAGTCCCAAGAACTCGACTGTACTAATGTTAACGAGATCATATTGGGCCTGGAGCTAGTTAACACGAGTTCATCGGAAAATATTTACATTTCCAATATTCTAGTTAAAGAGAAGAGGGCAGAAAAAAAAGTTTTCTCGTCTGAGACATGAAAAATTTGCGAGAAAAAATACGTGATTAAAAAGTATTATATCAAACGTTACGTTCTTCCTTTTTATATTGTTTCTTAAAGTAAATTTAATATGTTAAAACGAAATGGAAAATAACGAATTTAATGTTTGTACATTGTAAGGAAAAGAAAATATATTTTTTGCAATATATTGAATAAAATTTTATCAAATAAACTCTTTGAAATAACGAAATTTTCAGCCTAAAAAAAACCGACCGTTGACAGCATTTATTTGCACACACCGTCTCCTGACCATCCACCCCTTACCTTATCATAATCAATATTAATAGATTGACCTGCTCTACTGCACTAGTTACGTTGAAATACCTATATCTCTCCGAGATAAAGTGTTATTGCACGCCGCAACGCTATACGCTTGTCGGCTAGTCTCGCTACACCAGACGACCAGACACCACACCTTTGCTGCGTATATGTTTTTTTATACAAGAAGTTTTTGTCGCGTGCGCGCCCTCAAACACATAAATACTTGATAAATGCATTGACGGTCGATCGATACTTATTAAGCTAAATTGTACCACCATATATGAGTTATGACATTAGACACATACTTGAAGTAAAATTTTCCGAAAGTCCAGAAAACTTACTTGCATTATTAATTTAATAAGTATCGAACATTTTCTGTCCATTGTTGTAGGTATTGTACGAGTGTTAAGAGAAAAGCACAGCTTTTATACGGTACAAAAAACACCGTTTCGTTGCCGCGTTCAATACTCTTGGAACGTCATCTGGGGAATTCTAGGGAATCCCATGGCTTCTTCGTGTGTTTGGGTTGTAAGGGGGCTGGGGGTTGGAGGTTGGAGGTCCTCAACTCGGGGGTGTCTCGCGAAGCAAAGCTGAAAGCTGCGCGCGAAGCTCTCTGAGACGGCGCAAACCAAAGAGGAGAGAAATGGCTAACTGGATTGTAAACGATTGAGGTTTCTCTCGCATCATAAAAAATGCATCTTTAGTGCACCGGCGAGGTGGCGGGCGTTACGTAACCCGCGGGTGTAATGTAGCATACAGTCTGTTTAGGTAAGGAACTACTTTTACTGATGTACTTATATGCATGAAATGGATTTATACGCACAACACAAATGTTACACAAGCTTGTATATACCCACATGTAAGCAAATGAAACTGCATTACTGCAGTGCATCATATAGCAAGACAGTGGCGGAGTAGTTTTGTATATTGTTAATAGTTTCATTGAAAAGGTAGAAGGGGTGGAAGGGTTCATTAGGCTTGTCCCCTGTGCCCGCAAATCTATTATTTGGTACTGAGTGTTTTTTCATTTTCAGTGAACTTTCTTTATTGTGCTTTGTGTTCGTGGTGTTTTGTGTGTAGCCTTGACAGGTTGTCAAAGGGGTATTTATGAGTATTCGACGCTGTGTGTTTTTATTATTTATTTTATTTCATTCGAGAGGGATGTTCGAACAAAGACAGCATTAAACAAAACTATCCATGACTTTGGTATGCTTTTCTTGTCTTGCACTATTTTCATTACAGTTTCATTTGTGAAATATGGTATTATTGCATTGGTAGATGAAAATTTTTATTCTTTAACAAGTGTTTTTTGCAGCTCAAACAAGTAAACTAAAGTAATAATAAAAATGGCTGAAGCAATAGAATTAGCTACATTTAATGAGACTGTCATCTCAAGCTTTGAGGAATTCTGGATTCACATCTTTGCAGTAAATGATCTAACGGACATAAGAGGGCTTACTCTAGATGAAGAAATTATCGTAAGTTTGCGTGTATAAAAGTTACTGCAACATTATATCCAATCGTTTGTTAAACTTTATTTTTTAATTCATCACAGGATACTTTGAAAAAGTTATCATTGGACATGAAAGTTTACTATAACTCGACAGACTTGGACTTTGGCCCTCCAGAAATCGATAAATATTATGCAGTTTTTGATGATGAGTGGCACCGTGTTAGGTGCACAAGTCTCGATTCGAAAAAAGAAGTAGCCACAGTGTACTTTATTGACAGGGGCGACGAAGATTCGTTTTCTTACGACGTCCTGCATCCCCTTCACCAACACTTTTTTCAATTCCCAGCACAGTCTCTTAAATTGTCAATCTGTGATCTAGAAATATTTAAGGATTGTAAAGAAATACAAACTTTCATAGAAGAAACACTAGTTAATAAGGACGTTTTTGTCAGAGTTAAAAATGTTAACCAAGACTGTGATATTCCAACTTTGTCCGTTGAAATGATTGTAGAAAAAGACAGTGAAGACGAAATTAATTTTAATGATCAAGTTTTTGAAAAGCTGTGTGATGAAGTTCTCAACCCGAAAATACATATTGGAACTGTAAGTATGGCGTGCCGCTTGTGAAGATGAATTTTTGTAATTTATCTTATTTGCTTAGGACAAAGTTGCACAAGAAACTCACGTCTCACACATCAGTGAGCAAGCCATATTCATGCAGATAAGATCCCAAGGCCTGTACTATTTTAAAATCTTAATGAATGAATTGGTCAAAGGTTATTTAGATAACAAATCTTTCAAACAAAAGACCGTATTTTCTTTCAACATGCAAAAAGTGTATGTGACAAAAAATCTAACAGATAATCACTGGTATAGAGTTAAAATCATACAAGTTGAAAACGAGTCTGAAGCATATGTAAATGTTATTGATTTTGGAGGCTCTTTTCTTGTGAAAAAACGTAACTTAATTTCATTGGGAGATCTGTCCGAAATCCTCGCACATTTTCCAGATCAGGCAAGTGTTCTTCATTTTTTTTTTTTTTTTTTTTTTTTTATAACGCGACTCCGAACATGTGCCTCTACACATACGGGTCAATTTTACACCGGCGTCGATAACAGGGGACACGGGGGTGAATTACTACCCGGGCTTGTTTTTTTTTTTCTCGTTTCTCGTCGCCGAGAGATCAACCTAAAAGTGGTTTGGATATTTTTTACAGTTACTAGGCAGATGATCGAGAACCGTCGGATTGGAGTTGAATGATCAATCGCCCGGACGGATGTGTCGTTTATTGCAATACGCGAATGCTGCTTGTTTGTTTGGCCATCGGTACCTATGTGTATAAACATACGGTTTTCGAGACGAATATTTCGCACAATTTTCGGTTGGCTGTGACGTACACACCATGCTAATACATACGTATTTTTATTATACGTAGGTAGATACATGTAAGTTGGAACGAAAAGTTTTTCACCAAAGAAGTACTACCCCTTGGGGGACGACATATACGTACACGTGATGCATCGATGCTTCATCGTTAAAAAACTTTTTCGATATGCTAGAGCACTATTTATGCAACTGCACAGTGTTAATAGAAGATAACTCTGTACGTAGGATGTCTCTCTTCTCGTGATGTACGCATAAATATCATTTACATAGTACCTTTTATACATCCGACTGCACGTACGTGTCTGCAAACAGAGCTTATAACGACAAATACCGTAGCTCAACGTATATACCGATATCATATGAAATATACCTACGTCATACATCGCGTATAGCTGGTATACATGTTAAACACGGGAGGAACCAATAAACGCCGAAATTCATTGGCTTCTCTTTGCTCGAGAAAAAAAAAAAGAGGCGATACTGGTGGGGTATGCGCGACATAAGGTAGTGAGTATATATATAGATAAAAATAGTTAGGCGATGGGGTGTCTCGTCTCCGAAGCTTGTTGACTTGGCGCCCCGTATTGAGATTTTCGAGGGGGCACGTAAGGTGCGAGATCCGAGGTGTACACGTATGGCACGAGTGGAGATGAAAAAACGAGACGCTCGCAAGCCAAGTACGTGTACATACGTATATATATGCGTTAGAGAACAACAGTGTCGAGGAGGGCGAGTCAATGACGTTCACCTACACACCAACTGTATATATAATCCTCCTGATGCTTGTGTATATGTAGATATACGTATGTCTCGCTTTTGGAAGTCAGACTTATAGAAATCAAGAGCATAGACAGGGTGGAGCGAGATCGCCTCTATTTTTTCTTTTCCTCTTATTGTATACTCTGTACATTTCTGTAATCGCTCTCTCCGTGTAAATCGTCGGAGGGAAGGACTGGCGCCGACAGTCACTTTGCCAAATACTCCTGTGGAGCGGTCCGCTTCGACTGATTTCCCGTTGCTATAGTTGGAGATCGAAATTTCAGGGCGAGTGTCGGACTCGGAACATGCCATATATATACACATACATTGTCGAGTTTTGCGATTTTTAACATCGTGCCTTTGATCGTGGGAAAATATTAAAAATGCGTCTCTAAAACACACAAAATGGTACTCTCTGTAACTCTGAAATTAGAAAAATATTGCAGTCTGAATCATTGATATACTTACCTGTCCCTTTTTTTTCCACCCAAGACGTTCGTTTATGATTCTTTAGACTATACAAGAAAAAAGAAATGAAAAGATATATTTCTTCCGTATCTTCGAAAATAAAAACACGAGTTTTTGGTCCCTCCCCATGCTATGCATACGGATAAAAAATTGGCGTCCATTCAATTTTTCAAAAAATAAAAAATATCAATATCCAGCCTCGAGAGCAAGTTGAAAAAAAAAACCGTTGCTCCATTTTAACAGACGCTCGCGTGCGTTGCAGATGTTGTTGTTGGCGCACACAGAATATAAGGGAGGATGATGCACATACGTACAAGGATCCAGTATATGTGCAGGCAGAGTAGCCGCGCGTGCATGTAAATACACATCGTGTATGAGTAACAACAACCGGAGCAGCCAAGCGCAGAACTGGCGAGTCGTTTTCCCGACTAGGGAATATATATATATATTATACTGTTGTGTGTTGAAATTCTCACCCCTGGTATACTCACAACGCGCGGGCGTTTCGCTAATGCGGTAATGGCAGCTCCCGCGGTATATACCTATATGGGTACTACGCGTACGTGTACCCCCCCACCCCCCACAGTGAGCGGGGTGTAATCGATATATACTCGAGCGAGCGAGCCAAAAGTCGAGCCAAGAGCTAAAGAAACAGATGACGCACGATGACTATTTCTTTTTTTTTGTTTTTTCTGCCACGTTCGAAGATAATTAATTAATATTTCGTACACCGTGTGCGGTAAATACCAACTCGAGAACGGCTCCAATCATTTCCCACGGATAAAATGCAAAAATACTTTCTCGGTTATCGATTACCCCCTTTCCCATCCTCCTCCAAAGGGAGAGTACCCTACACTTCGGTTCCGATAATTTCAAACTCGTTATCGGGAACGAAGATTATCGACTGGTCGTTGGATGGCGGTGACAGCGTCGAGGGAGTTTTCTTCGATTCCGCTTGTGAGCGCAATCACAGAGACAAAAAAAAAGGGGAGGTGTTTATTTTAAATAAGCTTCTTTTTCCCCCTTCAACCCTCGGCGTGCAATATTTAACGTACACGATGCAACGCCCATCACCGGTAAATCTGTTTCAAGTAGTATAACCAACGATTAGTCAGACGGGCTCGAGATTGAAGAATTTAAAACCGATTCCTCGCTCATTGCGAAATTAAATAAATCGAAACAAATCGAATCTCGACTTTTGGTACCGTAAAAGCCACACCACCCGATCGAATGAATCACCGGTNTAGGAGACTCTTCGTGTGACTGAACTTTTTTTACAGGCTTTTTTTTCTTCAGTTGTCTCTTTTAGACTGATTAATTTGTGCTTGCATGAGTTAATGGTAAAGGGCTTAGAGTATTATAATTTTGTAAATATTGTCGATTTTATGAGTCATATAAGATAAGTAGAATATTGATGGTTTTGGAGGTCGATTTTAAGGTAAAAGATAAATTGTAAACTTGCCGCAAGTAGCACAAAAAATGTTTACTTTTTATTATCTATCTATAAAATTTGTTGCGGCTGGTTTATAACTAATAAAGTGACTTTACTGTAAGTAGCAATAGCAATAATTATTTTGGATCAGCGCCATCTAGCGGTCTTTATTTTTTGGCCAATAGTGGCTCCTAAAATTCTAAATCAGAGCATTTCGGATTAGAGCCATTTAATCAATTACAAACCAGCCGCAACTCATGATGAAGCTATAAAATGAAAAAATAATAATACATGTGTTTTTGGCGGCAAGTTAACAATCTATCTTATGCTTAAAAATTTATCTTTAAAAGTGTAAACACATAGGAGGTCAATTTTTTGGTAGAAAATAGATTGTTAACTTGCCGCCAAAAACACACGTATCGTTATTTTTTCATTATATAGCTTCATCATGAGTTGCGGCTGGTTTACAATTGATTAAATGGCTCTATGCGGTGAAGCTCTGGTTCAAAAGTTTAGGGCCACTTTATAGTTCAGAAACCCGTAACGCTAGATGGCGCTAATCTAAATGATTGTTAGTACTACTCTTACAGTAAAGCTATGTTCAATTATAAACCAGCCGCAACTGATTTCATAGCTATAAAATAAAAAGTTAACGTTGTTTGTGCTGTTTGCGGCAAGTTTATAATCTATGTTTAACCTGAAAATTTACCTCCAAAAGTAGAAATGTTCTACTTATCTTATATGGCTACATACATGCGTACAATTAAATACTAGAATAAACTATACTATTTCTATACTGCATGTATATACATACACCGCGCGATACACATGAAAGTGAGAGAAATACCAGAATACCACTACCCAGTGGGTTATTGGGTTATTGGGTTATTGGCTAAATAGGTACCCACTACCTATTTAGTTACCACCGCACGCATGTATGTATATAATACACCACGTGTTATTTATATATAGGTATACAGGCGCGGCATCGGGCATCGGCATGGCCCATGGGCGCATTTGCGGCGGCGCGCTCTTCTTTCTCTCCTCGTCGTCGTCCACTGTCGACGTCGTCGTCGTCGGCGAGTTAGACCGATTTGTTGCTCTTCGAGCCAAAGCTCTGCCGCTCCCGAGTACTATACAGCTTGGAGCTAAAATCGCGCGTGCGAATAGAAAAAACAACTTTCGGCGTGTTCTCTCGAATTTAGTAGTGATTTTTTCTTCTTCTTTTTTTAAATATTAATTTTTTTTATTTTTAAGTAACAAGTGAAGAAGAAATTAAAAACTTGTTTGTTTCGTCTCCACATTATACTTGTTCGCGTTTAAATTTTTTCGTTCGAAGGTAGGTGGTGCGCGCCCGCTGGGCGTGAGTTTATATTATACTATGCGGTGATTGAGCGACAGTTTGCGCTGATTTGTGGTCAAGATGTATATGTGCAATGTACACTATACACAATACACCGTGGGGGTACGTACACACAAACAGAGAGTAGACACACGCAGTGGGTATAAGGCTATTTCATAATTGCTTTCGAATGGACTTCTTTCGAAACCAGTTAGCTCAAGCTTACGTGCGCAATAATTATGTATTTGTCGGCTTATTATTCGATATGCTGGCGCGAGCGCGAGGATATGAGTATTTTTTTTTTT